GAAGGGTGTGGGCTGAACATCACTGTAGGAAGCACCTCTTAACATTTTATATTGTTCTTTTCTTTGGAATTGCTGTCTGGAGCTCTACATCTCTCAAGGCTTTATGAAGCATCTGTTTAGCATAAAGATAGCACTTACTCTCCAGGATTTTGATAGTATGTATACCGTAGGTTTATTTCTAATTATGTTTTTAAAATATGTAAAGTTCAGAATTCTGAAGATACCAATACAGAAAATATAATAGGCCTGAGGAGGAGGAATATGTGTAAGGAAAAAAGAAACTTTGACAGATCTTTACTGGGACTTCAGCCTTTCAGAGTGTGTGTATCCTCGCTTAGAACATGTGTAATGTCTGCCATTCTTCACTTCTAGTCAGATTCGTTTTTTCAGGTTTTCTGAAGACGTCACTCAAGATCCCTTTCTAAACTAAAAATGTTGAACAATGAAAATGGGCTTTTCTGAGTTTCCTTCCGAAGTCACTAGGGAGACCTGTTTCAGTAGGAATTAAAGAAACCTCGCTGAGAACCATCATTTGGTTTTTGGTTTTTTTTGTCAAACAGGCTCACTTTCCTGAACCTCCCTTTCCTGCCTTTCTAACCATGGTACACAGCAGCCTCTGAGCATCTCATGTCTTGGTGGAAGGGGAGGAGGTCCACTTTAATGAAAGTGACCTCTGTGACAAAATAACCATATCCATATGGCAATGCCTCGGTGTGCCAAGTCTGTATTCTTAGTCTGGATCCAGAATAGAGGCTCTTGAATTCAAACATTACTTTTGACACTTGATTGTTCTCAAAGTATTGGAAGGAGGAGGCCTGATAAGGGCTGACCGGGAGTTCCCCATGGTTTTAAAAGCATTCTGTGTTTGTTTAGACCAGAGACTCCACTACCAGTCAGCTTCTGTTCTGAAGCTAATCTTGAGTATATATTTGGTTGGCACATTTGCATAACATTCAGTGGAAATTTTCCCTTTCATTCTCTTGGTTACAGCTACTTGCATATTTCTAGTTCCTCTCCTAATTTTTATTTTTTCAAATTATGATGATTTTATTCCTTCCCCTGTTAGTTGCTATATGGTTCCAATTCTATTTTAATCTTTCTTCATAGGATACCCTGCCCCTAACCAAATATTCCTTAACATAAATGATTAACAAACCCTTCTGAAAGATGATGGGTAAGAGTGGGATTGTAAGGTAAAGGGTACATGCTGCATTTTGGTTTTATGTGGGTTCTTCAGATATATGTCTATATTTCATATCCTATAAGAAAATATGGAGATATCCTAGTTCAGCCTTGCCTAGCGGGGATCCATATAGAAATGAAAGCTGGTGATTCAGGGAAAGGAATAGTAGGGGTAAATGGGCATTTCTTGTTTGTTAGAAATTCTTTTATTCATTGTGTTTGAAAGCAGTGAAAAGGACAGGAGGACGCTTAAAGAACCTTTTATCTAGCAACATTTATATTTTTAAAACATGGCTTAGAGGCCTGGCTGGTGTGGTTCAGTGGTTGACCCAGGAACCAAAAGGTCACTGGTTCGATTCCTGTTCAGGACACATGCCCGGGTTGTGGGCTTGATCCCCAGTAAGGGCGTGCAGGAGGCAGTCAATCAATGATTCTCTCTCATCATTTTTTCCCCATTAGAAAATATTCACATCAAAATTTCCTGAGATGTTAACAACTTGAGGTTTAGCAGTAAACTGACTCATACTCGCACATTCTCTCCTTTGTCGCCTGAGAGACCCATGACTGATGATTCAGGTATCAACATGAAAGGGTTGTCGAGAACCGAAGTTTTGTTTGACAATCGAGACATTTTTTCATGAAAATTTGGTCAAGAACCGAATTGTTCAAGATGGGAGACATTCGAGAACTGAGGTTTGACTTTGAAAACTCCTAGCCCAAAAGTTAATCATATTTAATAATAAGGGATTATTAAGGTTATGTATGAGTTAATATATATAAAGTGCTTAGAATAGTGTCTAACACTAGTAAAAGCTTTGTTAGTACTGGCCTTTATAATAATTACTAAATTTCAAACATAGCGTGCTTTATAAAAGTTGTGTCAGCTAGCTTTAGCTACTTTAGGGGCAGTGTGATCATCGGAGAAAGTCACAGTGCTTTTTATCAGGAAGGCCAACATCATTGTCAAGGGAGGCTTTTTCAGGAGTTCATACTAAGACGCTGGGCATGAGATAAAAGGGAAAGGAAGACTTAAGGATGATACAGAAATCTTGAACCTTATAAACTGTAAATATACCACTTTGCAAATAGAGAAGATTGCTTCAAGTTGTTGACTTGAAGAACCTGTAGAAAATTTTTATGAGTTTTTAAGAGTTTATGTGCCCCAAACAGAAGACATGCCTAGAAGCAACATCTCAACAGACTGAGGAAAATGTTTTCCAGAATGACAGTTTGCAGTTTCTTTTATACATTTGGAATTAAGGAGGGAAGTAAAGAAGATTACATGCAAGTGGGAGAATGGAAGGCAGGGAAATATTTATGATTGGATCTGAGGGGATGAAAAAGTAACATTTCACAGGGATGTTAACCTAGATGCACAAAAACAATGCACAGGGCTTGCAAAGATAAACTTCTACTAGGGAAGTTATAGACCTGAGGCATAACTATCCACCATGACTGGCCCAGTTAGGAATTTATAATCAGATCACCCTGGGAAATTACTTTGTTAGATTTGTTACAGAAGCCCTTTTTCATCCACAAAGGGAAGAGATTGTAGGTTTAGAATGGATAGTTTAAAGGAATAGATCAAATTTGAAACAACATGGTTTGAGCTATAGTTTATACATCATAAAGTTTACCTAATTTAAGTGAATAATTCACTTATTTTAGCATTGTGCAGCCATCACCACAATTCAGTCTAGAATATTTTCATCTCCCAAATAAGATCTCTTGTTCCCATCTTTAGTCATTCCTTGTTTTTACTCCCAGTCTGTTGTATTGATTTTTTGAAAATAATTATTTAAAGTAATTTTTCTTTTTCAGGATGGCATAGTAAATCCAACAATAAGAAAAGATTTGAAAACTGTACCAAAATTCTACTGTTGTCCAATTGAAGGATGTCCTAGAGGTCCTGACAGGCCATTTTCTCAATTTTATCTCGTAAAACAGGTATTTTACCTATCTTAAGTATACTTCCCTGAGCATGAAATGCAAATGGTATAAACCTAGTGTGCATTCTAATTACTTACCAAACATAACGAGAATTGAGCAGAAAGTTGTGTGAGGATATCCACCCAAAAGTCTTCCAATTGGAAAAGGTGAGTAAGGTATAATGCAAGTGAAGGACACGTGCCTTGTTCCTGAGGGAAAGATGTCCAGAAGTGGATTCAGAGAGAAAGAGAAGATGGCTAATTCAAAGAATGAGAACACGTGTACTTCGTATCTCTTATGTGAATCTGTGCCTCCAAGGTTAGACAAGCAAAGGCACAAAGGAAATGTTCTCCCAAAGGAGTAAGATAAGGCAGAATTTCAGAAACAGCTACCTGAAGGGGAGGGAGGGGGCCCAGCAACTGGGAAAGGAGGTGATTCAGGACTGCAAGAAATAGACAGCCGAAATACTTCCCAGAGGGTTTGCTGGAGGAGGTCCTATAAAAAGTATTTATTGCAAAGACTTTTTATTCTTCCTACAGCACTTATTTGTAGATCAGAACCTAAATGCCGGGTACTATGGATCGTTTCCAAAACTGTCTTCACACTTTTCACAAAGTAGAAGTGATAGGGAAAAGAGGCATATGATAAACTGCAGTTTGCCTGCTTCTACATTCTTTGATTTGGACTGCTATGCTGTTTTATCGTGTAAAATCATTGTTAACTTGGGTATGTTGATGGTTTTTTAAATGTTTTGAGCAGTTGCAGTTTTTCATTCTGGTTCCTTTGTGTTCTTCCTAGCACTTTATGAAAATGCACGCTGAAAAGAAGCATAAATGTAGTAAGTGCAGCAATTCATACGGCACTAAATGGGACTTGAAAAGACATGCAGAGGATTGTGGCAAGACCTTCCAGTGCACATGCGGCTGTCCCTATGCAAGTAGAACTTCATTACAGTCCCACATCTACCGAACTGGCCATGAGATCCCTGCAGAGCACAGGTAAAGGGGAAGAAATGGTGGCCCAAAAGTCAGTAGCTGTGGGAAGAGTTTCAAATGAAACTTCGTGGAAAGCTCTTAGTGTAGGAAGAAAGGAGGAATAATGGAGAAAAGGTAAGACATGGAAGAAGGGAACTTGCAGAAAGGTAGCAGTACTAATAAAGGATCCATGTCTACTTAATCCAGTTGTTCTTCCTTATTCTTCCTGCCAACTTCTTTTGAGGGTACCTTCATATGAAACTATACTTCATTTTTTTTATTTATTTTTTTAACCTCAGTCAAGGATTTATTCATTGATTCCAGAGAGAAGAAGGGAGAAAGAGAAAAACATCAATTAGTTGCCTCCCGTATGCACTCCGACTGGGGAGTGAACCCACTACCTAAGTATGTGCCCTGACTGGGAATCAAACCCTGCAACCTTTTCATATACAGGAAGACACTCGAACCAACTGAGGCATCCAGCCATGGCTGTACTTCATCTTAAAGGCCAGATTTATATTTGGGGTATAAGCTTCTTACTTGAGAAATGATAAAAGTTGCATTATTTAATCTGTTAGCATCCTTATGCTTACAAATCTAAGTTGAGTTCTAGTACTTAGAGCTGTATCTCCCTCACCCCCCGCTTTCTCCTTCCCTGTTTGCATATTCCTGAACTTCTGCCTACCATACAGCAGGCCCAGGTCTCAAAGAGGTGTAAAAGAGGGGATTTCTCTTCACTGGATTGATTCTGACCTCTTTTTACTCTGTCATTTTCAGGGATCCACCTGGCAAGAAAAGAAAAATGGAAAACTGCCTGCACAACCAGAAGTTGTCCAATAAAACCATTGAATCCTTGAGCAACCAACCAACCCCAAGACCAGACACTCAAGAATTAGAAACTTCAGAAATAAAGCTAGTCACTTCTTTTGAAGACTCTTGTGGCTCTAATGCCAAAAAGCAGACTCTTACAACAGCACCAAAATATCCTCAGAAATTGCTTTTACCAAAGCCCAAAGTGGCTTTGGTTAAACTACCTATTATGCAGTTTTCTCCTGTGCCTGTCTTTGTGCCTACAGCTGACTCCTCGGCCCAGCTCC